CTATCAGGTAACTATTTCATATTTCGTCAGTTGTTAATGGCTAATTCGTGCGAGTTCAGTATTAGGAAAATTTGCGAATTTTAAAACCAAAGCCAACCATCATTGGGAGATAAGCAAATCGTACCAAATGAGATTGTACCATTTTATACAAATTAGCCACTAAATCAAAAAGTTACGAATTGCTCTAAGATAGCGTTGGTTTTAGTCGCATGACACTTGCTCAATGAAATCCCAATTCACTTTGCAATCATTTTTATTGGGAATTTTTAATAAATTGGAGACAAGTGACAGACGGCGTCCCACAGCTTTGCATTTTAGGAAGTCTCTCTAGCCTCTCCCGCTTTTCTGTCTCTGAAATCTGAACCTAACAGGCCTTGGTTTAAAATAAGTCTTCTTTAATCGCTCTCAGTACTGTGTGTTACTTCACATCACGGTACTGTGCAAAAGTCTACACCCCCTGCGGTGTTAGGGAATGTCGAACATCATCTTTCTCTACCAGCATGACAAACGCGTGCGTGATCCCTCTGTCTCCACATCCCGGGGTCTGTAGTGTGTTTGAAAAGTGTCAGATAGCCTCAGGTGTAGAATTTCTGTTTAACTAAAGCCTGAATTCTCTCTCTTGATCTGTCTTACTCTCTTTCTCTCCCTCTGCTGGGCTAGTTTTACACCGGCGTGCTCTGAATAACTGCCCTGCTAAAATTAACGGTTCAGGGAACATGTCTCAGTCACATGGTGATACGGTCATGCTTTACTGATGCAAGAAAAGCAGCATGGGAGTAAAGATCTGGCTGAAATCATCAGCGCATCCTCTGATGGCTTGTATCTTCAGCAGAGATATGGTTAGAAATATTCAGTCAGCGAAGGATATTAAATGCGCAACCAATGATAGAGCTAGAGTAGTATGTGTCTGCCTAGAATGTCTGGAGATTTCAGTAACACTTCAGTTTATTACCATTCATGCTATGAACTACTGGCTTATTACCTGCCTGCTATTAAGATTTTACGTGTTCATTAGTTGTTAAAAAGCAATCTACCCAAATCCTACCCTAGTATCTTATTAATTGTTAATAGACAGCTTATTATTAGTTTATTAAGATAGTTGTGTTAGTTAATGGTTTGTTAATTCCGTGAATTGTGACCTAAAGTTTTACTTAGATTTCTTTATTAATCATATGATAATAAAAGTACTAACATTAATAATTAAAATAATAATAGTGTTAAGTTAGAATTTTTACAGCTGTGTTATGATGTTTTAAAGAAAATGTATTCGTAATATTTTTTTATAATACATGCTACGGTATTGTGAGCTAATATGAACAACATAATACAACGCAGCCTTGTATCAACCGCTAATATTAATTACTACCAATTTTCATAAATCTGGTTGGTATTGACAAGCTAGATATGAATTAAAGAGGTAATTAAAAGCTAATCAAATATAAAAGTCAATTTTAAAATATGTAAATGCTACAAATTAACCCTAAAATAGATCTTTTTTTATTATTACAATAAAGTATGATAATAGTGTTATTAAAAATTTGGGTAAATTAAAAAGAAATATCCAAATAAATATGTATTATAAATGCATTTATTTATAAAATAAATTGAAAACAAAAATCCTAATACTGTCGCTGACAGATAATATATAATATATAATATAATATAATATAATATAATATACAAAAGCTAAAAGGAAATGATTTAATGAATAAATTCTATAAAAATATGTTTATAAAATATAAATTCTGAAAGAAATATTTCTATTTTATGTTCTGCCAAGCATTTCATTTAGTGTTAATAAATAAAAAAGATCTCTAATTCTCTGTTATTAATTAAAAACAATAAAAAAATCTAAAATTTTACTGAAAGATATAATAAAGGATAATGATAAACAATATTGTAGGGGGAAAGGTACATTTTCTAAAGATTTAATTTAACAGTATTGTCAAATTAATATTGATTCATTTTAAATTAAGGGCTGCACTGGTTAGCCCTGTCGCCTCACAGCAAGAAGGTCGCTGTTTCAAGTCCCGGCTGGGCCAGTTGGCGTTTCTGTGTGGAGTTTGCATGTTCCCCCCGTGTTAGTTTGGGTTTCCTCTACGTGCTCCGGTTTCCTCCACAGTTAAAACAGATACAGTACAGGTAAATTGAATAAACTAAATTGTCCGTAGTGTATGAGTGTGAATGAGTGTGTATGGTTGTGTTCCAGTACTGGGTTGCAGCTGGAAGGGCATCCGCTGTGTAAATATATGCTGGATAAGTTGGCGGTTCATTCCGCTGTGGCAACCTCTTATGAATAAAAGGACTAAGCCAAAGGAAAATGAATGAACGAATGAATTTAAATGAAAATCAATCTATTAATTAATCAATCAATACTATAAAAACAGCCCTACTATTATAAATGATTACTGCTTGAAATCTTGCATTATGTTGTATTCGGTCATATCTAAATGTGTAAAGGCGTAAATGTCTTTGAGCTGCTGGTGATGATGCTTGGATGATCCAACTTTCAAAACAATGATTGATGAGAGCAGTGTGCTTACTTTATGACATCATTTCTCATCTTGTCACAAGAGCCATCAATAGACGAGACTGAGACAGACAGAGAGTCAGCATTACATGTCACAATACATCCCTGTTCTCAGGAGGACTTTGTTTGGCTAAATTTACTCTTGAAAGAGTGACAGATGATGACATCTCTAATCTAAGACTGAAGCCGTCATGAGCTTTAAATCAGGCTAAAGAAATGCATTTATTTAAGTTTGTAGTCGTGCAGGTGAACAGGGCAAAAAGATGAACTAATTGCGATCAACAATTTTCCTTAGTGGACTGACTGCATTATGTATTGCAAGCATTTAAATTACAAGTTTTATCAAATGTTACAGTGATGTGAAAAAAATTGCTCACTGGGAAAGCCTGGGTATTTTGTAAGGTTTTTAAATTTATTTAATCTCCATTTTAATAGAACGGTTAAATTAATATAACCAAACAATTAAAACTGAAGAAAAGACATTTCAAAACCATCTGTTAATGTAATTCTACAAAACTGCATATACTAACTGAGGAAAAAGTTAGGACACCACCACCGTCAGGCTTTTTGATTTTTCACATTACTGTATATTTAATTATGCCATCCTAGACAACAAAGACAATATTAGCTATTAACAATAACAATAACCAATATAAAACTATTGATTTTTCTTTTATGCCAAAAATCATTAGAATATCAAGCAAATATCACCTTCCATGAAGACATTTAGTAAACGTTCAATCATAAACTTATAAAAATGTATATTTTAATTAGTAATATGCATTGCTAAGGATGGAATTTGGACATTTTAAAGACCATCTTCTCCTTATTTAGATTTTTTAACCCTCAGATTGCAGATTTTTAAAACAGTTGTCAAATGTTGCCCATGCATTAAAGGGATAGTTCACCCCAAAATGAAAATGCACTCGCTACTCACTCATCCTCAAGTGGTTTCAAACCTTTATGAGTTGCTTTTATTGTTGTTGAAAAGATGATATTTTAAAGAGAGCTTAAAACCTGTAACCATTGACATCAATTTCAGGAAAAACAAATGGTGACAGGTTTGCAGTTTTCTTCAAAATATCATTCATTCATTCATTCATTCATTTTCCTTTGGCTTAGTCCCTTTATTCATTAGGGGTCACCACAGCAGAATGAACCGCAAACTTATCCAGCATACAGTTGAAGTCAGAATTATTAAACCCCCTTTATTTTTTGTTTTTTTATTTTTTAAATATTTCCCAAATTATGTTTAACAAAGCAAGAACATTTTCACAGTATGTCTGATAATTTTTTTTTTCTTCTGGAGAAAGTTTTATTTGTTTTATTTCGGCTAGAATAAAAGCAGTTTTAAATTTTTAAACAATCTTAATTTCAAAATTATTAGCACCTTTAAGCAATATATTTCCGATAGTCTACAGAACAAACCATCGTTATGCAATAACTTACCTAATTTCCCTAACCTGCTTAGTTAACCTAATTAACCTAGTTAAGCCTAGTTAAGTGTCTTGAAAAATATCTAGTAAAACATTACATACATTCATCATGGCAAATACAAAATAAATCAGTTATTAAAAATGAGTTATTAAAACTATTATGTTTAGAAATTTAACAGAAATTATCTTTGTTAAACAGAAATTGGGGAAAAAATAAACAGGGGGGCTAATAATTCTGACTTCAACTGTATGTAATACACAGCGCATGCCCTTCCAGCTGCAACCCAACACTGGGAAACATCCATACACACTTCTACACGACGACCAATTTAGTTTATTTAATTCACTTATAATTTAATTCACAGTCTTTGGACTGTGGGGGAAAACCGGAAAGAGCACCCGGAGGAAACCCACACAAACACATGGTGACCATGCAAACTCCACAAGAAGTGACCTTCTTGCTGTGAGGCAACAATGCTAACCACTGAGCCACCTTGTCACCCAAACTATCTTTTTGAACTCGTAAAGGTTTAAAACAAGTAAAAAAAAGCAAAGAAATAAAGACAGAATTTTCATTTTTGGGTGAACTACCCCTTAAATGAAAAGGTTATTTTATACAGCTTTCAGGTGATGTATAAATCTCAATTTAAAAAGATTGCCACTTACAAATGAGGCATTATTTAATTAAATATGCACTAATTTGCAAACATTTATGGCACAAACATTCCTTGTTTCTTTTTCTTTCTTTTTCTTCAAATTTTAAATAAAAGTCACAGATTTTTTGGCTATCTCTTTTCATCACTTAACTCTTTTTGTACCATGAGAATACAGAAATGAATAAAACTGTGAAGTTTGGTGTATGCAAGTTCTGCGGTAGTAGAGATTTGTAGCTCGATTCAGGAGAAAAAAAAACACCAAATGAAAAAAAAATCTAGTTGTTGATGTTTTCTTTTGACTAAATAAAAACACACAAAAAGCCCAAAATGTGGTGTCATGCACTAACAGTATATGATACGTGTGTCTGTGTGTTTTAGCTGCGGGCGGCGCAGGAGAAACACACGCTGACGGAGAGACTGTTCCTCTCAAACAGAGACTGGCCTTATACCAAGCTGCCACTACCAAAGAGGAGAGAAGCCCATCTGTGGTATTTACCAGCATGAACACACACACACACACACACACACAAACATATGTTAATCCACTGACTAATCCACTGAAATTAGGCAGAGACTTCATATTTTCTATATTACTATTATTTAGGGACTTACAGTTCCTGTTTAATATTTACAATTGTATGATATCTCCTTTCAGTCTTTGAGCATGCTGCTCTTAATGGTTTTGTAATACATAATAGATGAAACCAACATTAAATTGATTTAAACTTTATTGATCCCATTTGGGAATGTGGGTTGCATTAAATAAAGCAAGAAGGCAGAGATGAAGAATTAGCACACGGTGTTCTTATGGAAGTAGTAACAAATATTAGAGTTAAAGTCTAGAAAATCTCCTTCAAATTGACTACTATTGTGGAGAAATGACTATTTACTACATAATATTGTTTAGGATTTGTACAGTAAAGGACAATATGCATGTTTATGTTTTAGTGCTACACTTATTTAACCTAAATATAATGCTTGTGTAATATTGGACACTTCATGCACTCAGGGGTCTCAGTTTAATATATGATTAATATGATTGTTTAATATATATGATTATTTAATATAAAAAATGCTTTTCTTCGATTTTTCGGCTTGTTTCTAGTCCAAATATCTAAAAAAATAAAATAATTACATTTAAATCAAGAAGCTTTTTCTACACAAGCTAAAATATTGTCTTGTATTAACATATAATATGCCAAAATTTGGGGAGATTTTCCTTAAAACAAGCCTAATAATCTGCCAATAGGGTAATTTTTTTCTTTTTGACATACGATTATTTAGCTTGTTTTAAGGAAAAACAAGACTATGTGTTTTGCATTTTTAGAAAATGCTTCTTGATTTATGAATTTCTAGATATATGGACTAGAAACAAGACAATAATTAAGTTAGAAATTTTTTTTTTTTGCAGGGTATACAAGTACTTAGCATCTGAGTGCATCATTTGGGACATGTCTTCTGTTTCAACATTGCCCTCTAGAGGAGAATAATATATTTCAGATCTGTTCTATTACAGTGTGCAAGCTAATATATGAACAGTATATGTTCATTTATGATTTTTAATGTGTGTTCTAAGGTCATGGACAGCTCTGAGCCGTGCTCTCTGCCAGGTGGACTGGCCAGCGTGAAGAAACAATTTGAAAGCCAAGAGTTAAGCTCCTCTTCTGCATCCCAAAGCACTGTTGCACAGTACCACTACCAGCAGAGACAGGTACAATCGTCCACAGCACTCACTCAGTTACACAAAATGCATTGCTAAGCACTGATGATAATGTACAGTATGCTACTAAATATTAAAAATTATACTTGTGTGTGCAGTAAATGCTTGGCTGATTCCGCAATGTCGCAAAACTCTGAACAGTGCTACTATAGACCATTTCAATGTAGTGATGTCATTGGCCCATGAACATTTCCTGCTTGTTATCAAACTATTTCATAACTGTAACGAAATGCGATTCATTTACGATTTATAACGTCATAACCCATTACTTTTGTTTACATCCCTCAAAATGGTCGATAGAATAAAAAGCTTGTGCTCATTGGAAAAACATGCCTCAGCTTACATTTAAAGTAAAATATGTTGTTCAGGGTACATTTTGTTGCATGTTTCAAATGGCGTATCCACTAGAGGGCGCTACCTACATCTTTTTGTATCTAAAACACATTCCTTGGGATACATTTTGCCTTATTGTACACGTCCATATAGGTTGGGCTTGTTGTACAGATCACACTGACCTAAACCCTTCCCATAACTCAACCAATAGTATTTCCAAGGCAAACCAAACAGCAATGTTTAAGACAACCATGTAGTTTTACCTTGATTTTGCATTGCTTTTACCACTTTTATTGAGTCGTTCATTCGTTGGACCCAAACCAGAGTGAATTGACCACATCAGAAAAGTTGTCTTTATGCAGATAGAAAGGCATATTCGATTACAAATCATAGACATTTATTTGGTGTTGTGCAAAGCACTGAATGAAAATAGTTCTTTATTAATCGATAATATGTCCCTTTAAATATCATTATTGTGAAAAGGAACAGAAACTGTTGCCGTCATACTGATCACTAGTGTTAATTTTAAAACATACCTGATAAAAGTCTCGTTGTCTATCCCAGTTGTGAGTAGGCATGGGCTGGTATAAGATTCTGACGGTATGATAGCCTTGGATAAATATATCACAAATTCACGATATCAAGGTATTGTGCTCACTGCTCTAAAATATATATTTTTTAAATGTCTGGGTAAAAAAGAACATCTTTTTCCCCTTTTAACACAATATATTTTATTTTTTGAAATATTTATAATATTTTGGAACAGTTAACATGTCAGGCTAAATAATTCAAAATGTTAATTGACTTCTGCGGTCTTCATTAGTTTCAAAAACACAGATTTTTAAAATTCTGTACAATTCTTTACAATTTAAAACGACAACTTTAGATATTTTTTTCTGCTGGAGATACTGCTGTCCTAAAAAACAAAACAAAAAAAGTCAATAAAAAATCTTACACATACGTTAGGAACGGTATTACAGAAAATTTTGGCACTTTTAAAACCTTTACTTTTCCAAACCGCAGTATACCTTGAAAACGGTTATCATCCCATGCCTAGTTTTGAGAGCAGCAAAGAATAACTTCTAGGGTAAATAACTAAGGTCGATTTCTGATGAATCATGTGTTGAACTGCATCCCAATCGTCACAAATACTGCAGAAGACCTGTTGGAACCTGCATGGACCCAAGATTCTCAGAGAAATCAGTCAAGTTTGCTGAAGGAAAAATCATGATTTAGGGTTGCATTCAGTATGGGGACATGCGAGAGATCTGCAGAGTGGATGGCAACATCAAAAGCCTGAGGTATCAAGACATTTGTGCTGCCCATTACATTACAAACCACTGGAGAGGGCAAATTCTTCAGCAGGATAGCGCTGCTCCTCATACTTCAGCCTTCACATCAAAGTTCCTAAAAGCAAAGAAGGTCATGGTGCTCCAGGATCAGTTAGCCAATTCACCCAACATTAACATTATTGAGCATGTCTAGGGTAAGATAAAAGAGGAGGCATTGAACATGAATCCAAAAAATCTTGATGAACTCTAGGAGTCCTGCAGTCCTTTGCCATTCCAGATGACTTTATTAATAAGTTATCTGAGTCATTGCCGAGATGTATGGATGCAGTCCTCCAAGCTCATGGGAGTCATACACAGTATTCATTTATTTTCCACTGCACCCTGACTTTATATTCTATACTTTACATTATTTCTGTTAAGTGACAAGACTCTGGTCTAAGTAAAGTCAGACCTTACTGTCCAAATTAAATAGTTAAAAATCAAGACATGATCATTTTTTATTTTGGTAAAATAAGTGTAATCTAGAGGTCTTTGCCTTTCACATAAGCCACTTTTGATACCAAATGATCAACTAGAAGTCACGTTATTGATTATTATTTCTAAAACTTGGATAGGCGACAAGACTTTTGTTAGGTAGTGTAGGATAATATAGTAAAACAAATGTTTAAGTATGTTTTGTCAGCTTTACAAATGTACTGGCTGAAGCACAAATTTCCAATGTGCCTGTGTTTTAGTAAAAAGGCAGTGTCAGTGAGTTGCATATTGCTTATGTTTGTTTAATAACAGGTGTTGTCTGTCTTTAAAGCAGGTGGTGAGCTCATCAGAGGTGACAGTACGAAGCAGTGTTAAAGAAAGCAGTACCTCAAATGCTCAGGTATATGTCAGAAAGGATCCCAGTTGTTTAATGCCCCAAAATGAAAATGGACTAAGAAGTCCTCCTTTTCCTACATTGTGCTTCTTAAATCTAATATGGGTTGTGTTTAGACATATTTACAAAGTCTTAAATGATGAAGACATGTATGTTTAAGTGGAGGTGTTTTTATGTTAGGTTTCTCTGGACAAGAATGTTCAACAGAGTGTGGCCTCCAGTTTTGGCGATCATTATGATGAGAAAGGTAGAGTTTATGTGCAGATTGAGCTTTTTAATATATTTTGTTAAAAGGACAGGTATCCTATAACACAATAAATATTTCTTCCTCATTTCGTCTTTCACCCTTAACAGTGATGGTAATTGGAGGAGAGAATTTGCCAAAAGTTTCTACTCAAGCCCTAAAACAGCAGCATGAAAAAAGTATTGAGGACGCCACTCCACCCAAACATATCAAGGTAAAAATAAAGTACACAAATGAATGCAGGAAAATGTTTTAATTTCAGGGGTTAAAAAGTAGTTTAAGTATGTAGGTGTTTTTATTTTATTCCCGGCACTTTTATGTAAAAAAAAAACGTACATATGAAATGTAGAGAAATTATTTGTTTAACAAAAAAAACATAATTTATATACTGTATGAAATCAGGCATATTTCAATTAAGCTATTATCACACACAAAAATAAATATTATTCATTCATTCATTTTCTTTTAGGCTTAGTCCCTTTATTAATCAGGGGTCGGAATGAACCGCCAACTTATCCAGCATATGTTTTACGCAGCGGATACCCTTTCAGCTGCAACCCAACACTTGGAATAAATATTATAATTTACGATATATTTATCACGCTATGCAAAAAAAATTAGTGCTATTTAATTATTTCATTAATTTTTCTTTGGTTTAGTCCCTGATTCAGCTTAGTTCCAGGGGTCGCCACAGCAGTATGAACCGCCAAATACTCTGAGATATGTTTTACGCAACTGATGCCGCAACCCAGTACTGGGAATATTTAAATATTTGTCATACATAATGGTAAAATGCAAGAAATTGCATTTACTTTACAAATTTCTTACCAAAAATTAAACACAATAAGTCATTTAAAATGTAATAGACAAAATGTTTTGATGTAAAATAAAAACAAGTAAATTACAGAACTCTTCTGCAATTCATGTATACAAACAAAATAATTGGAGCTTAAAATATTTCAATAGAGTTTATTGAAAATATGCAGGTAAAAGCACCTAAATTTGAAGAAACATTTATTTGTTACATAAACAATTATTTGCAAGAACAAATGTTCTATATATGCTGTTTTTTTCTTTACTTACATATAGTACATAAAAATATAATCAATATATATATATATATATATATATATATATATATATATATATATATATATTATAAACCTGAATATGCACTGATAAAAGATAATTCTTGTCTTTCTATCTTTCCTTTTATTACAACAAAGATTGATCTTGATTACAACCAGTTTCCCTGGGCCCCAGTAAGTGTTTCCTCAAAGGCTACTGCCACAGGTAGCTATGAGGCCATGTCTGTCACCAAAACAATGCAAGAAGCCTGTACATCCTCTATGGCTTCCTCACAATATGAAGCTGTTGAGCACTTCTCCCAACCAATATCTGCCACACAACAGTTCCAAGAAACTTCCCAAGTCCCAGAACGCTGTCCTTCCCCTAAGCCAACAGACGCATCTACTTCATCCAAATACGCGGTCAATAAAGAGCAGTACTCTAAGCAGAGGAACCTCTATGAACTGAAGCGTCTCTATAAGCACATTCATCCAGAAGTGCGTAAAAACCTGGAACGTGACTTCTTTACTGATGTGACAGACACCGAGCAAACCTATGTGGACAGTGATGAGGAGGCAAGCAGAGATATTCAGCAAGCACGTTATGTTTTTGAAAACAGTGGAAGTACCAGCCCTGGCAAGTGCATCAGCCCAGAGAGAGAGTATATGGAATGGGATGAGATCCTAAAAGGTGAGGTGCAATCAATGCGCTGGATGTTTGAGAACAAGCCCCTGGATTCCATTAAGGATGTTACACCAGATGAGGACGAGGGGAAGAACATAGCCCAACAAGAAATCATTGCTGGAAAAGATGTGAAATACACTATGTGGATGTTTGAAACACAACCCATTGATGCTCTTGGTACAGAAAAATCAGACTCAGCAGAGCACGGTGGAAAACATGAGCTTGCAAGGGGAGATGTCCAGACTGCAACATGGCTGTTTGAGACACAACCGCTGGACACGCTTAACAGAATTTACCAAGAGGATGACCAAGAGACACAGGTCATGTATACTAAAGACATTGCTGGGGGTGATGTGAAAACTGCTAGATACTTGTTTGAAACACAGCACCTCGATGCACTTGGACACACCGAGACTATTGACGAGAATCACTTCCTGCAGTTAAAGTCTGAGCTTGAAGAAGTCAAGGGTGAGGTAAAGAAGACGACCAAGATGTTTGAGACACAGCCCATGTGTGTCATTCGCGGTGACTCTGGTGAGATGCTGGAGATTACCAAGGTCCGACGTGAAGAAACTGAGAAAGGTGATGTCAGAACATCGCGCTGGCTCTTTGAAACTCAACCTCTGGACCTGATTAGCAAAGATCCAAGCAAGGTGAAATTAATCTGTGGGGTCTCAATGGAGGAAAATTCCCAGGGTGGTGTCAACAGAGGAAGGTGGCTCTTTGAGACAAAGACACTTGATCAAATTAAAGAAGAGGAATGGGAAACCACAAAAACTCAAAAGGAAGAGATCCTAGGTGCAGATGTGAGAAGACATTGCATGATCTTTGAGACGCAGCCTATGGATAAACTTAAAGATGATACAAATGCAAGACCACTGGAGCCAGAGAACATCATGGGTGGTGATGTTACTTCTGCTAGGCAATTGTTTGAAACGGTGCCAATGGAAGATCTGAAAGAGTTACCTGAAGTTGGCAAGCTACAAAAGATGGTGGCTTCAGAAGAAGAGAAAGGTGATGTAAGACACCAGAAGTGGGTATTTGAAAGTAAACCTCTTGAACAGATCAGAGAGGAGAGCAAAGAGATCACAAGGACCGTTAATCTAGAGGACCTTGAAAAGGGTGATGTTACAAATTACAAGGAAAGATTTGAGACCATGGACCTGAGCAAGTGCTTAGATGCACAAAAAATACACATAGAGGGTGTCACCAGCGGGTCAGTGAAATCAAATAAAGTGTTTTTTGAGTCAAAACCCTTGTATGCTGTGCAAGACAGCTCGGGACACTACCATGAGGTCAAAACTGTACGCAGAGAGGAGGTTGTGAAAGGTGATGTGAGAAGCTGCAAGTGGATGTTTGAAACCCGCCCCATCGATCAGTTTGATGAGAGCATCACTAAGTTTCAAATAATAAAGGGAATATCTAAAGAGGAAATTCAGTCAGGTGATGTTAAAACAGCCAAATGGCTGTTTGAAACCCAGCCTCTTGATGGCATTAAATACTTCAATTTAGAGGAAGAAGACAACAGAAAAAATGAGAGCATTGAGATTCAAAGAGGTGATGTTAAAACATGCAGATGGTTGTTTGAAACACAGCCAATGGATGTCCTGTATGAGAAAATAGAGACAAAGACAGAAGACACCACAGACATCCAGAAAGGAGATGTTAAAACCTGCACATGGCTTTTTGAAACTCAGACTCTTGACAGTATAAAGGATGAGTCTGAGACCATCTTGAAAACTTCCACAGTAAAGCAAGACGATGTGCAAGGTAAGGATGTACGTCTTGTACGTTTCCTATTTGAGACCGAAAACCTGGAAAACATCACAGACGACGAGGATCACAGTGGCTTTAAGCGAATAACTGAAATTGACATTAACTCTGGAGATGTGTCAAGGATGAAGTACATCTTTGAGAATCAGACATCTGATATCATGACTTCTACATCAGAAGAGACCATGCAAAAACTCAAATGCCATCAAACAGAGGACATTCAGAAAGGAAATGTTGTGAACTGTACCTGGATGTTTGAAAACCAATCCATTGATTCAATCAAGGCAAATTCTGAAGATTTCAAAGAGTCACGCACAGTTACAGATATTCAGGGAGGTAATGTTGATAAAGGTCGCTTCATTTTTGAGACATACTCATTAGATAAGATTCAGGAGGAGTCATCTGAAACTGAGATCAGCAAACTTCAAAGTATCATACACAAAGAGATTGAAAAGGGGGATGTAAAAAATTACACAATGATGTTTGAGACCCAGCCCCTATATGCTATCAAGGACAAAGAGGGGCACTATCATGAGGTCACTACAGTCACAAAGGAAGAAATTCTGCGAGGAGATGTAGTTGGGGCAAGGTGGTTGTTTGAGACAAAGCCCATTGACTCCATTAAAGACACAGACGAGGTTTATGTTATCAAAGCTGTAACTCAAGAAGATATCCAAAAAGGTGATGTCAGCACGGCTAGGTGGAGGTTTGAAACTCAACCTTTAGATGAGATTGCAGAGGATATGAAAGTTGCTGTTAAAACTGTAGCAGACATCCAGGGGGGAGATGTGAAAACAAACAAACAGCGCTTTGAAACTGATGACCTATCAGAGAAATACGTGAGAACTGTTAGTGTCAGTGAGATTCAAAGAGGTAACGTGAGAAGCTCCACATGGATGTTTGAAACTCGCACCATTGACAAGATCAATGCTGAAGGTTCTGAGTATGAAGGAATGGAGAAGGTGATGCGTGAAGAAGTGGTAAAAGGTGATGTTAAGCAGTCTGTGTGGCTCTTTGAAAAAGAACCACTTGATCGTATCAAGGATGTCGATGACACAGAGACTGTAATTTCCCGGGAGGAAATCCCAAAAGCTGATGTGAAGACAACAACATGGTTGTTTGAAACCACCCCTCTAACAGAGTTTAATGAGAGCAGCATGGAAAGAACAGAGATTGTCGGTAAGAGCATCAAGACAACCCTAGAAGAGCTATTTTCTCAGAAAATGGTTGATTCACAAGGCATTCTAATTGAGGCAGATGAGATTGGCGATGTCAGAATGGCTAAATACAAACTCCTCAACCAGGACACTCCAGAAATCCAAAGAGAGGAGGTTATACATGGAGACCTCAACAATATTATGATGAACCTGCTCAATAGACGTGAGACAACAGAGAGAGGAATCACTATAAATATGCAGGAAAGAGGAAATATCAACTCAACCGTCCAACAGCTATTTAATCAGGATAAGAGTGGTAATGTTGAGAAAGAGGAAATTATCAGAGGAGATATCCAAGAGGCAATTAATAACTTGCTTAAGCAAGAAGGGTCTTCCAAACGGGGCATCCTGATTCAAGAAGATGAGAAAGGAGATGTGAGAATGACAATATACTCACTTCTTAATAAAGAAACAGAGAGCAGTGTTGAGAAAGAGGATATAATTAGTGGAAATATTCGTGGAACGATGCATAGGCTACTAGGTAATACTGATGCAAAGGACCCATCTACTAAGATAACTGTGGCAGAAGCGGAGAGAGGAAATGTCAGTTTTTATTCTACCTGTATTGAGTCTGGGGCAATGGACTACCTCAAGCAACTTCAGGTGGGGGCTGATGAAATTGTTGAGGAAAAAGTGAAAGAACAAATAATTGGAGGGGATGTAGAACATACAAAACAGATTCTAAGAAAGAGCCAGCAAATAATAGGACGAACTGTTGCTGAAGATGATATTGTACCAGGTGATGTAAATAACACAGTCCAGGTGTTTATGATGGAACCTGTACTCTCCCTGCATAACTTGCAGAAAGAGGAGATAGTAAAGGGAGACTTGAGAGCAGCTCTTGACTCTCTCACGCAAGCTGTTAACCAATGTGTAGTCATTGAAAAAGAGGACATAGTCAAAGGAGATATCAACACAACACTTAGGTCTCTCGAGGAGGCTCAAAACCAGTCTAAAGGAATTGAAAAACCTGAGATTGTGCCTGGTGACATTAGGGGTGCATTAGAATCTCTTGAAAAATCGACATCTGCAAAGACTGAGGTAATTATTGAAGATTTGGTGCCAGGGGATATTAAAGGTACTCTGAAATCCCTGGAGGAGGCAAAGCAGGCAGTAAAAGAGGTTGAGAAGGAGGAAATAGTTAAAGGTGATATTCAGACTGCTTTACTTTGTCTTCAAGAAGCTTCAACTGAAAAGAAGGTTTTTCAGCACCAAGTAAGTGAACAAGGTGATGTGAAAGGTACAATTCAGCTCTTACTGGAGCCAACTTCATCCACCCGTATGCACAGAAGGCCAAGCACAGAGGGTGATGTAAAATCCTCTATTAAATCCCTGTATGAGCAGGAGCAAGTAGAAGTTGAGAAAGAGGAGGTAATTAAGGGAGACGTTCAGGGAACAATTAAATCCCTGATGAAAAAGAAAGAGCAATCAAGCTACAAATCAAAAATGAACCCTCATAAGAAAGCTAAAGTTACAATTAAGAACCCAGTCCCCTCTCAACAAGCATGCCGTGAGTGCCCAGCTGGACCTAAAGCTGAGGAAAAGCCAACAAATCCACCTCCAGTGAAAAACATGCAGCAGAGCAGCACAAAAAAGACATCAGACATCAAATCTTCAGAAAGTCAGACTTCTGAGGAGTATAGTTCTACTACTAAGCAGATGAGCACTGCTGCTAATTTACAAGTGTCTTCTCAAAGCTCACAAAAAATGAATGTAAAAGAGCAACATATTAAACAAAAGCAGAACACTCCTAGTCCAGTGCTAATAAAGAAAAAGAATCTTGGAGGTCAAACAAGTGAGAGGAAATCTGAAAATGCAGCTATGTCTTCAGCAACAAGTGCATCAGCATCAGTGGAGGCATCACAAACTAATATTAGCATGAAAAAAACTGAAGAGACAAAGACAGTCACACAAGTTCAGACTACAATGACAACAGAGAGCACTACCATAAGCCAGAAGCAAAACATCAAGAATTTAAAATCAGAAAAAAATGTTAAGAGCCTTAACCGCAATCTAAGTCCTAAAGGAATGATAAAAAAGACAAAACCACAGCCAGAGATTCACTTTCCACCACCTCCGAGTTCCCCTCCACCCCCCTCTGAATCAGAGCTCTCTCTGCCTCCTCCTCCCTCGCCAGTGGCAGAAAGTGAGGTCCAGCCACCCCTCTTACCACGGCCTCCTCTGGCTATGAGACAGGACAGTGACCTTCCCCCTCCACCTCCCCCACCTCCTATCATGGAGACAGACACAGAATTCTTCCCACCACCTCCTCCACCCCAAGACTTCCTCCCTCCTCCTCCATCTCAACAGGAACTCAGCTCAGTTGCCCAACCTGCTAAGCCAAAAGGCAGAGCTCTGTTCAAGGTGCCCACACCTGAGCCTCCCAAGCAGCCAATGCCCAAAACATTTAAATGGCAGAAAAAACAAACATCACCTACTCCACCACCACCTCCTCCTCCATCAGTTGCTGAGCAGAGTGAAACAATTGCATCAGGTACAACCACATTTACAGAAACTACAGAGAACATCAGCAAGCAAAAGGAAATGTTTAAAAAAACCGAGCCTCCAGCTCCCCTTAATACTAAAACTTCATCAGCAATACCTGTGCTTCAAGCAGCAGCTGAGGAACCACCACGCCCCAAAAAAGCATTTGTTCCACCAATTAAGCTCCCACCTCCTCCTGACCCTGCTTCTCCAAAACCAAGGCCTTATGCAAGTAAATTTAAAACCCCACTCATGCTTGCAGAGGAGAGATATCGCAAACAAAGGGAGGAGGCTGAAAAAAACCAGGGAGAAAGTACTCCCACCTCACCCCCACCTACTAAACTATTTAATGACAGAGAAATAAAGACTGGAGCAGAGTCAATCACACAGAAACCTGAACAGACCCAAGTTACTATTGAGACACAGCAAGAAACGCGTAAAGAACCAGAGACAAAGCAAAAGCCAGCCATGCTACACAAAGAAATGACAGAAAAACCTGCCCCACCAAAAAGTCCACAGATTCCTCCAAAGCAAAAAACACCTGCAAATTTTCAGATAAGCAAACCTTCATTTCCCAAAGTTGCTAAAAAACCAACCACAGAATCCTTTAGTAATATATCCGATAAAAGGCAGACATCTACTACTGCTGCTATAGAAAAGAAAAGTCATACAGCCTCTGCAGTTCAATCACTTCCTGTTGCAGAGCAAGCTGAAAGTACAAAAGCTCACGCTGTAAAAGAAGAGAGCATCCAGGCCACTAAAAGTGTTCAAAATCAGATCACTACTTCTGCTCAAGTAGAGGAGATCAGAAGCGTAGAGGCATGTGTGGTTCAAGAAGTCAAAAAGGTTCCCCCTCAGTCCACAAAGATCCCAAAAGTGACCCCAAGCTTCAAGGTTAAAACATTTAAGGTACCTAAGGTAGAGAATGTGGAGAAAGAAGAAGAGAAAAAAGACATAGTTCAAACAGCTAGGACAGAGCAAACAGTCACAGAAACAGGAAAACATGTCTCTCAAGTGGATACAGCTCACGAGAGCCTTCAAAAATCCACCAGTGCTATGGAAAAAACTGAAGTGAAAGTTGAAAAAAGTGAGGGAATTACACAAACCAAGAAAGATGCCAAATTGGAGGTCCATCTAAAGAAACAAAAACAAGCTACAGTTAAGCAGCCGCCACCTGTTGCACCGAGACCATCAGTTGAGATACATCAAATACAGCCAGCAATATCTATAGAGGTGCATCAAGGACAAGGTCAGACATCTGTCATTCAGTCACATCATGCCGTGAGAGAGGAGCATGTTCAGGTCCATGAAGAAAGGAAGGTCACTCAGAGCACAGTTCAGCAACAGAGCATCCAACAAAAAAATAAATTCCAGATCAAGAAGCAGATAAAACCTCCAATGCGTCCTCCAAGCAGAGAGGAGGCCATAAAACAGTCAATACAGAAAGAGGATCAGACCAAATCAGAGAGTCTATCAATTACAACCGAAATTTCGTATGCACAAAAATGTGAAGAGATTCAAATATTGTTGAGTTGTATCAACGAGTTTGAAGGAGCCCCTGCAAAAATGAATCCAAAAGCGTTAAAGGCAATACTGAGTATCATTCCTGACTGGCTAGTTAGCTCTGAAGAGAAGGAAGATTTAAGCCAGGTTCAGTACAACAAGCAGAAAATGACAGAAGTCATAACCTATGTAAAGAACCTTGCCATTGCCAAACTGAATTTTTTAGAGGGAAACTTCTCTGTTTCAGAGACTGCAAAAAGTGAGTCAACACCAGAAAAGAAAATAGTAGGTGGAGCCACACAAAAAATATCCAAGATAACTATTGGCTCATCAAAAATTGAGACTCAGAAGAAAGTAGTGGAGGAGAAAAAAACAGAATGTCAGAGTAATTCAAGAGTAGCAGAGCTCAAAATGCCACCCGAGCTAAGAATGCGGACACCATCACCAACGTTCATATGCATTGAGTCTGCCAAGAGGACTGACTCCCCTCTTAGAGTAACTCCGTCACCCCCTCCCTCTTACAGGACAGGTGCTACACCAACACCTCCACCTCGGTGGTCTGAAACACCAACACGAATGTACCTATCCACACCGTCCCCCACAATGAGTCGCTCTGAGAAGCTAGCTAAACTAAGAGATACCACAGCCAAACTCTCACAAGGCATGACCCCACCACCCATGCCTTTGCCAGAGTACATGATGAAGGTCCAGACAGATTTGGAGGGGTCGCGCTCATCCAGTTGTTCAGAGATAGCCCTTGAGAGTCATATGATGGAATCATCCCTCATAGACGTCACAGATATCCATGGAGACTCCATGATGACTGTGAAAGACAAGCGTGAATTCTTTGAAGAGGCTCAGAAAGCAGACGTCTGTCGTACCTATTTACGCAAGGATCCAATTGACATCCCAGAGCGTCTTGGACCAGATACAGATGATAATGAGCCAGAGCTCCCGAGATCCATAGATGCACATGAGAGATTGTTAGAGGACTTGCCCAGGGTTGATCTGTCGAAGCTTGTGAACAAATTTGAGTCCCCCCAGCCAAAAGTTTACATTCGGAAGGACCCCATTGTGATTAACGAGAGACTTGGAAGTGACACAGAAGATGCTGAACCTGAGAAGAAGGCATCCTTGGTGGAGGACATGCCAAGCTTTGATATTAAGGCCCTCAAGAATGTCTTTGAAATGGGTGAGCAAGCCCATCAGTATCTAAGAGATGAGAGGAAAAATCTTGAAAAACAAGAGGAAGCACCTGAAGGATTCTCTGAGACACAGTCTGTAACGGAGCACTTCTCCTCTGTAGATGAATTTGGGAACAGTGTAACAGGCTCAATGAATCAAACAACCTCCCACTCTCAGAGTGTGACAACCCGTGGTGATCCACCCACTTATGCAGATGTAGTAAAAGGGGCTGTTCCTGTCCTAGACGTTCCACCAGAGGCCTCTGCTGAAGAGTTACTAAAGAGCTTCCAGCAGACATGGGCAGAGAGTGAAAACGTCTTTAAAAACCTGGGCTTCACTGTGTCGGAACAACACAGATCACAGACTGTTTCACGCCAGCACCAGTCTGTTGTCACCGGTAAACCTGTGTGATGAGCATGGAATGGTTAACAAGAAAACTGAGTGATGACTAAATCAGTGATGGTGTGTTTACACTTGACAAATACTGTAGGGTTGCTTTACTTGTGCCTGTGCTATTATTTTGATCTTTCAGTTTGAGTTCATAATCGAGTGCTTCTAAAGTGGAATTATTTTGTGATTACTGACTGAACAGTTTTTAGATTTAATGTTTATGTTCAGATCCATATGGAATGTTTGCAATTGTATTTCACCTCTCTAAAAGCATGTGCACTACTTAAATCATTGAGTTTCAACAACTATACTAACTAAGCATTTTGTTTCTTTTAATTTATTTTTAGCTCATAACTCACTCTCTACTTGTAAAAAGTATATTAAAACTGTGTGGTGCAAAGTTTTATCATGGAACTCTATTAAGACAAATACTATAGGTCCTATCCAGTCTGCTTCTATGCTCATCATCAACTCATGGCTGATGTTGTCGGCATCTAATCAGCCAATAAGTTTGCGCCTCTGAATTTAAATACATTAGAGTTGTCAGATACCCTGCTTCGCCCCATCAAACATTTTTGTGTTTAAAAGAAGTCTAATTGATCCCAGCAGAAATATGAGGTCAACATGATGTCAGATTGACACTTTACCCTAACGCGTGGGATGTTGCAGTTTGGGTCAAAATGAAAATCGGAATGACCTCAGAACCCAACATCGCACAGACATTGGATTTTGGTCACTTTCCAACACAACCTATAAATAACCAAATATCAACATCTAATGATGTTACAGCTTGACGTTGTGTGGACGTTACCACTATAATGTCTATCAGACATTGGATTTTGGTTAAGTGAAGCTTAATTATAAACTAATTTCAAGAGGATCACGTGCTTATGATTGTTCACAGCTGTTCCAACTTTAGCTAATGACTAATTATCCTATCAAACGATCCTTAACTCACTATAAATAACCAGACTTTTCTCATCTCAATATCTTCGTCTTGAAGAAACCCCCCACCCAACCCTACTTTCCCTCCTTTCCAACGGGCAACACGGTGGCCAGCGATTAGCGCTGTTGCCTCACAGCAAGAATGCCCCTAGTTTAATTCCCTTCCAAACCAGGCGACAATTCTGTGCAGAGTTTTGCTCGTTCTCACCGTGATCGCGTGGGTTTTCCCTGGGTCCTCCGGTTTCCTCCCACAGTTCAAAAACAAGCACTCTAAACAATTAATCCAAAATATTTTAGCCCAACTCTGAGTACACCTTCTCAGCATCCATATCTGACACTTAGCTACAATAAGCAGGAGGGGGAGTCATCTAGATCTACCAAGCTCAATCTCCCCTCTCACCTTGCAACGAGAGGGACCCCAGGGCTCGAGGATCTTATAAGCTCAGGGCTCTCTCCCGGGACAGCATGCCAAACAAGCTTTATTATCAATCATCAGCTAAGTGTGAACTCTTGAAATAAATGTCAGTATTTGACGTCAATATGACGTTGGTTTAAGACGTTTGCCCAACATTGGATTTTGGTCACTTTTTAACACAACATTGATTTTTCATTACCCGACATCACAACCTATATCTAACCTAAAATATTGTCTTATGACATTTTGTGTCTGCTGGGATGTCTAAGAATAGCCCAAAACAAGACTAGTCGTCAATAACTCTAGAATGACTATGCATATGAAGTCTGTCTAATCTGTGTGTTTGATGATTAGTTTTGGGCTTTTCTTAGATGTCTATTTGATGTTCACTGTCTGCTCAAATTTAGCCTTGTTTTAGGCAAGACATCTATGTTTAGGCATCTATCAGATGTCTATTAAACACACAAATTCTTGATGTGATAGATCTGCTGTGGGCGTTATATGTATGTAATGTTTACAGCAGCCACATGTTATATTCTCAGGGAGCATGTTTGTGGTTTGTAGCAAGTACTTCCTCAGCACCAATAATCAAAGCAGCAGTAGCGTGACAGATCTATGTCGCCAAGACCAAACACACTAACATTGCCATATTCATTACCATACTAAATCTCTCATAGAGTTGTCATGATAGAACTGTTTTTTCTTGTGAACTTGTGTATTTGTGTACTAAATGAACTGAAAGGAGCCATTTTCTAATGCCAGTCTCTCTCTTTCACTAACAGAAAGTACGGGTGCCAGAGTCCGAACTGTGTCAGGTATGTCGGAAGAGGGTGTATCCCATGGAGTCTCTCATAGCAGACAAGCAAAACTTCCATAAAACCTGTTTTAGATGTGCCCACTGCAACAGCCAGCTCAGGTAAACACTTTTTTTTCACATAAGTCATGTGTACAATAATAGAAGAAAATTAAAATGATTGGTCAAATGCAACATGATTACATTCAAAATCACAGTGAAATATGAAAAGGTCCGGTTTAAGATTTAATTCATTTTAATCTAAGCTAATTTAACTTGAAGTGTAGAAGTTTGTGTCTCTGCATCATACAATTTGAACAAGAATGTTTAATTCCTGTTGTGAGCAGGTATGATATGCGAGTTGTTCTTGTTGTCAGAACACAAAAAGCAGCCATATACAGTACAGTAACTCTTATAAAGCTCAAATTGTGTTTGTGTATCTCTTTGCTATAGTCTTGGAACCTATGCTTCTCTCCATGGACGAATGTACTGTAAGCCACATTATAAACAACTTTTCAAGTCTAAAGGCAACTATGATGAAGGGTTTGGAGAAAGGCCCCACAAAGAACATTGGAGTACAAAGGATCAAAACAACATATCAGAAACACCCAACACGAAAAGCAATCCTCGTGTCAGTTTAAAAGTAACTCACAGCCCACAAGAAAATGACACCAATGCAACACAGAATATTACGGAAGAAAAGATAAACATTGATGATGATGTTAAAAAGGCAGCAAATAAAATTGCAGTCGTGTGGCCACCCCTTACTGATTCCCCAAAGAAGTCATTTGCTGTAGAGGATGAAATAAAGATAGTGAAACCAGTCTGGCCTCCTCAAGTCGAATCAGAACTCTCAGGTAAAGAGAATAACGAACCGGAAGTTAAGAGGCAAACTACTATCGCAAGTACAGAAAATGGACCCAAGGAAAATAGTGGTCCTGTGTCACCTATAAATAAGCCAGAAAAGTCATCTACAGATGCTAAAATAACTCAAGTGATGGAAGAGCCAACACCAAAACTTGAAACTGAGGGGGCAAAGGATGCCAGCGAAACAAGCAATGCCACTGAGCCGTCCACAGAAAGCCAGCAGACTGTAGAGCAGAAAGATGAGACAACTCAGGCAACGGAGGCAAAAGAAGAAAAGGAGATAAATGGTCAAAAGGAGAATAAGTTGGAGAATGGAGATGCAGAAATAACTAAGAATGTGAGTACAAATGAGGAGACCGAGAGTGCGAAAACCACTGATGAAAACGGTGTTAAGGAAAGTGAAAAGAAAGTACAGGGTGAAGTAAATGAGGGAGAAGATGTGAAAGTGACAGTGATTGATGGTGAAATACCAAATGGCCAAACAGCCAACGGCAATGCAAACAACAACAATAATAATAACAGTAACCGATTATTGGATAATAAGGGCAGTTTGGCAGTAATTCATGACACAAAAGAAGAAGCAGAGCTGCTGGATTTGTCCTCCTCAGAGCCACTTCCTTCTCAAACATCCTTTAAAGAAGAGACCAGCAATGATGTGATGGCTTCTAGACTTCAAGAGGGCAGCTCTGCCTCAGCATGTGCCAAATACTCACAAGACATGAAAGAGGCAGAGCAAGAGCAACCCGCTGCCAAAACATTGGCTTGCAAGGAGACAGATGACAACCCAAAGTTTAGTGCCTCACGTTTTCTAGATGACATATTTGCCGGTTTTGATGACAGCTCCAGTTTGCTTCCTGGATTTAAGGATGACATTTATAGCAAGGAATCGGCTTCGTCTCAGCTGGATGACCTTCTGGGTTTTGGAATAGAATCAAAAGGGGAGACGGGCCAACACACTGAGGCGGAAACGAGGAAGAATCCGCTCGATAAAAATGACACCAAAGATGCTGGACTGCTGAGTGAAGCCGGCAGCCTCTGGCAGGATGAAAATGACTTCTTGTCCGTAGAGGAACAAATTAAACAGAACCGATATTATGATGATGACTGATGAAATAAAAAAAAACTCAAATTAACACTCTGTTAAATCTGCCATACCCTCATTTATACACTTCTGTTAGCATCCTTTAGAGCAGTTTCACAGCTCTGTTCATGGAGAGATGAATGTCAGCATGCTTTTATTGTATTTTATACTCCGCTCGCAGCAGACAGCACATGTAACTACATTCTGAATCTTTATTTAAAGCACCTGGTGTGCAAGAAAATTTGGGGAAATATGATAATAGTGATACTTCTTTGTTTTTTTGCTGTAAACATTTTATTCAAAATTCATGTATCTTTGCCTGTGCCTGTTTCCCATGCCTGCAAGTTTTGCAGATATTCTTTTATCTTTTTAGAGCATCCATAGGGGGTTATGGTTTCTGCTTTTGTTTAATGGAATTCTTGACAGACTTTCTGTCATAAGATGGTTAGAATGAATTATTTCTGTTATACCGCTAATGCATTGACAAAGAATAATAAAAACATGTTTATTGGAGATATCAGTGTTGTCTAATGTGATTCATCATGTTCTGTATTTCTCATATGAATTATGATTCATGTGTTATCAAAGATGAGTTCAAGTTAATTTATAAAAATAGTTCAACAGTTTGTACTTAAAAGGATAGTTCGACCAAAATGGAATATTCTGTCATCATTTACTCACTCCCACTTGTTTCAAAATAGTTTGTTGTTGTTTGTTTTATTCTTTTGATAAACACAAAATAAGATTTTTTGAAAAATGTTGGAAACTGGTAGCCAATAACACCAATACTATTTGTTTTTAATAATATGGATGCCAATATTGTTCTGTAAAAAATCCTCTGTGTATGTTCAGCAGTCCTTTTGTAACCCGCATGGACCCACGATTCTCGCAAGTTTGGTGAAGAAAAAATCATGATTTAGGGTTGCATTCAGTATGGGGGCATGCGAGAGATCTGCAGAGTGGATGGCAACATCAACAGCCAAAGATATCAAGACATTTGTGCTGCCCATTACATTACAAACCACAGGAGAGGGCAAAATCTTCAGCAGGATAGTGCTTATTCTCATACTTCAGCCAAAGAAGGTCAAGGTGCTTCAGGATTGGCCAGCCCAGTCACCAGACATGAACATTATTGAGCATGTCTGGGGTAAGAAGGAAGAGGCATTGAATATGAATCCAAAGAATCTTGATGAAATCTGTTCAAGCTTAAGGGGTGTCAATCACAATATTAATTCTTTTTCCACTGCACCATGACTCTATATTCTATACTTTACATTATTTCTGTTAAGTGACAAGACTTTTGTCTAAGCAAAGTCAGACCTTACTCTCCTGATTAAATAATTACAAATCAAGGCATGATCATATTTTATTTTGGTAAAATAAGTGTAATCTAGAGGTCTTTGCCTTTCATATTTCATTTCATTTCAAGCCACTTCTGATACCAAATGACCAACTAGAAGTCAAGTTATTATTTGTTGCTCTTACAACTTGGATAGGTGACAAGACTTTTGTCAGTAAGTACAAACGCTTTAGTCTATTTCAGATGTGTAACATTAGGCAGTAATGTTTTAAAAATGTGGAAATGGTACCATTAAGGCGACGTGGTGGCACAGTAGGTAGTGCTGTCGCCTCACAGCAAGAAGGTCGCTGGTTTGAGTTCAGTTGGCATTTCAATGTGGAGTTTGCATGTTCTTCCCTCGTTCGCGTGGGTTTCCTCCGAGTGCTTCAATTTCCCCCACAAGTCCAAAAACATGCGGTACAGGTGAATTGGGTAGGCTAAATTGTCCGTAGTGTACATGTGTGTGTGAATGAGTGTGTATGGTTGTTTTCCAGTGATGGGTTGCAGCTGGAAGGGCATCCGCTGCGTAAAACATGTGCTGGATAAGTTGGCGGTTCATTCCGCTGTGGCAACCCCAGATTAATATAGAGATTAAGTTGAAAAGAAAAGGAATGAATGAATAAATGGTACCATCGAAACTTGAGAGAAGTAAGAACATCAGTGCAACTGGAAACTAGTTGTTCTTCATATTTTTCATGTTATTTCTCTATAGAGCAGACATCTCACACATTCACAGAAAAAAGTAAGGTTTTAAAGATGAGGACAGGGCTACAGTCCAATACTTGCAATTGTTACAACACTTATTATAAAAACATTATATACAATAACTAATATCTTAAGCATTATGAAACTTTAGCTCCCTCAAGATTGGTTTAAAGTTGGTTTTATTTTCGCACATTCAGACTTTCTCCATAATATAATATTTTCAGAAGAGTATTCTTTGCAAATTCTATATAGCAAAGTCATTTTAGCAGCCACAGACTATTAAAGTACAACAGTTTTCACAGTCAATTGAATAGTGCTAATGTTGTTTTGAAGTCATGCATGCTATTTCTGACCGAATATTCAAAGTAACATGGTAAACAATATAGGGACCATGTCAATTAAGTTGTGAACGAATATGTGAAATATAAAACCAACTTTACCTTAATGCTCTTAAGTGGTTCTAAACCTTTTGAAGTGTCTTTCTTCTGTTTAACGCACACACACAGAGAGACAGACATACTGCTATTTTGAAGGAAGCAATAACCCATTGACATCCATATAGTAGAAAACAAAAAAAATATTTTTAATATTCAAATTGTTACTGGTTTCCAACTTCAAAATATCTTCCTGTGGTAAACCAAAGAAAGAAAGCCAAATGGAACAAGTGAAGTAGGTAGCCTAAATGATGGACAGAATTTATGGTGCCTTTAATACTTCAATAAAATGAAAGTATTTACCTGATCAAAAGCAACACTGGTTTGTTGCAGAGGTTGCAGTATGAATCTGAGAGAGTGTAGGTTGTTCAGATGAGCAGTGGGGGCAGCCTGGCACTGATTCTCCTCCTGCGGCTGCTGATTGGACGGAGCTCCATAACCCGCTGCGCCGCACCACCTCGCAACCCTTCCACAGCTCGTTCGCGTTACACCGACCGCGCGCCCTGTGCTCTGCAGAAAACTCCCCGGATTTCACTAAAGCACGCAATATCACCGAAAAGGTATGTTCGCAATGTACTGCCTGGTTTTATTTCACCGAGCACGTCGAGCATCCGCATGTATAGAGCGTCCTATTCTTTAAGGTGAGAGGAGAACAGCTACAAAGAGTCATGTGACGTTATTTTCGGGGTTTGTGAGGAAAAGATGTATACATACGACTTTCACTGGGTATATTGTGAGATATAGCACCACGTATGCATCCGTTAGTATTAAAATAGATTAGAAATAATATAATACATGCATGTTAAAAGTTCAGTAATGCCAGTTTTCGCATTTACCTAAAAAAAGCTGGTCTGTATTGTTGTGATTTATGTAGTATTTGTTTTTAATTGGAATATAAGCGTGGTTGTTTCCTGCTAGTAGCTAGCGAGTCCTTCCAATATTGATTAAATACTAGCTTACTTAAACCTTTCTGCTAGTCAATACATCCTACTAATGACAAGTGACTGTTCAGATGTCTGCCAAAGTCACCTTTGATTTTAAACTGTCACCTTCTAACCAGTAGCTAACCATAATTTGAGTAATTTGTAGTGCCTTTTTCAGTTTTACAAGGTATTCTCGATCAGCTAGTTATAGCCTACTTAATCTTTAGCTAGAATGGATTAAATTTTGACTTGTTAAATATTTTTTATAAGTAATGGCCAAAGTTTGTCACAAATAAGAGGTAACAATGACATTGGCATCTAAAAAAATCCATTAGGCCTAGGGATGCACGAAAAATCTGACATCACAATATTTAGTTTTTTCTGAGATATATATTGTGATGTAATTATAATTTCATATTTGAAACTATTTTATTCATGTAGATAGATTGGGTTGAACAAGTCTTTTTCAATGCAGTGCATCTGTATAAATTATAATACATTACAAACATATATAAATACAAGAGAGCAAAGAGAACAGAAATAAACGGCACTTTATGGTTTTCTGGAGAGACTAACAGTATTCAGGTATAGAAATTGAACAATCAAACGGAAATGTACGTTTGTATCTGTATAAATTATTTTTAAATAATAATAGCTTTATTTTTTAATCTTTAATAAATAATTCTAATCGTGCAATGTGAGTTGCAAATACAATTCAATTCAATAATTGCTATATTGGCATGACAAATGTTACAATTGTATTGCGAAGCAGTTACAAAGTTTACATAAAATTAAAAGAACTTAGATATTTAATAAAAACACAGTAAACAGTAGTAGTAGTTGTAAAAAAAAGTATATACATATAATAATGAATTAAAAATATAAATAATATATCATACTATTATTTAATATATCATATTATTATTCAATATATCACATTATATTCAATAAATCGCATTATTATTCAATATATCAGATCATTCATGTCATAATATTTATTTATAACAATAAAAATAATAATAAATCAGAATAAACTGTACATTTTACAATCAAATGTATTGCAAATACACTCTTTACAATATCAATGCTCAAACAATATATTGTGCAGCCCTAATTAGGTCTATATTAAAATCCATTTGCTTATATTACATGCATTCATTACCTTGAAAACAGCCAAACACAATAAAATCGAAATCAAATTAAAATCTTTAAATTAATTGATTGATTCCCTTTAAAATTTTTAAATGCACCAATACCAATGTCTTAACGTTTACCACATAGTTTACCTGTGAGAGTGTTTTTTTTTTATCTTGTCATCTTTTAGTTCATCTGACAAAAAAATGCAATAATTAAAAGTAATAATAATTTGCAACAGAGATGAGAACTTGATAAAGGAAATTTGATATTTAAGTAAAGTATTGCTTTAAAGATCAAAATGTAAGTCAAATACATATGCAACTATATGTAAAGAGTTGAGATTAATTCATGAAGAAAATAAATTTCTGTTATTATTTAGAGTAGAAAATAATTAATTGCCTACCACAATTATTAATTATAATACTACACTGTAAAAATAAAATTGAATAAGTATTTTAATTATATAATTATATTATTTGATTATATTTATTTTACAAAAAACATCGGAAAACAAACAACAAAAAAAAATATAACTTGTTAGTTAAATCCTAATTTTTAAAAAAATAAAATATGCTCAAGTATCACAGTAAACCTTCGTTAAATTAAGTTGTGGGGTTGTTACTCAATATTTTTGGGAAGGCCAACTCAAATAATTACAAATAATACAGAGCTTATTTAAAACATTTTTTTATATTTATTTTTGTGAGATTCAGTGACTGTATTATTTCTAGAGTGTACCTATCCCCTCCACTTCTTTGAGTAACTTTGTAATTTGTAACATTAAATAAATCAAAACAATCATGGTCGTCAACACTGAAAAAAAGCACTTCTGCAAAATTGATGCAAACAATTAATATGGGTTGAATTTAAATAAATTACATTTAGTAATGTTCAACTTAATTTTTTTTATTTAAATTCAGCCCAAATAAATTATTTACAACCACCTACCTTAAAATATTGAGGAAATCTAAGGAATTATCTTGGAATATGTTTTTTCAATATATTAATTGTATGTAAATTCTCATCTCTAAGCTTAATCTGTAGCCAGTGTACTACAGTGCATCCGGAAAGTATTCATAGCGCTTCACTTTTTCCACATTTTTTATGTTCGAGTCTTATTCCAAAATAGATTCAATTCATTTATTTCCTCAACATTCTACACGCAACAATCTATCCGCTTGTTAAGTGGTGACGTGTTGGTGACGTATGTAATACTGTTTCTGGGTCCAAGCTGCCACTCATTTGAGTTAGAATTTTTTGTTTATGATCACTTTTAATTCAAATCACACATTAAAGTTAATTTTATTTAAAGTCATGGTGTACACAACAATCTCTGGGCTTGCTGCATCACAAATACCCAAATTTTAATAATTCATTAAAAAAAATAAATAAATCACTTTCTGACCATCAGATATTAGGCATGGACATATATATTGCGATCGTGATTTTCTGAAGTATTGAATCGCTTTGTAAACATTTATAATTATCATTTCATGAGTCTCCGCATAATGTTGAATAGGGCGCTTGGACCCGGAAGCCGCTTCGCATGACGTCACACTTAACAAGCAGATAACGACATTGTGAAAGAAGAATTTTTGAAATTGTTGCAAATTTATTAAAAACCCTGAAAAATCACAGTGAAGCGCTTTGAAAACTTTCCGATTGCACTGTACATATTTGTTGTAGATAGAAAGCTAACATCAAAACAGACTAAAATTATGAACACCCTAGGGGTGAAGAAGCAATTTAGCTGCCCCACTAAGCTTCAGTATTTCTGGGATCTAATGATAAAATTCCCATAGTGAAAATTATAGATAAAAACTGTGTGTGCTTGATGCATGACAACTAACATCATTGATTCTCTGACATCAAGCTTGCATTGGAGTAATTAAAAAGGAGTAATAAAAAAAATAGTGTAATAGACTGGTCTTGAATAAAGGCCAAAAGTCCTAATAGTTCCCCTATTTGCTCTTTTACAGTTATTTATAGTGACTATCTACAGTAATTAGGTCAAAATACTCATTCTACAACTTTGAACATTTTGAGAATCTTCCTGCGCATATGCAATGAAGTCTTCATGACTACCATAAGGCACTTTTTCTGAAAATATTTCCCCTAAAATGTGGGAAGAGGGAATGTTTTGTTATAGTAATAGATTTTTTATATTTTATACGTTTTCTTATTATATGTTGTTATAAATTCCCAGAGATGGGTTGTGGCTGGAAGGGCATCCGCTGCGTAAAAACTTGCTGGATAAGTTGGCGGTTCATTCCGCTGTGGTGACCCAGGATTAATAAAGGGACTAAGCCGACAAGAAAATGAATGAATGAATGTTGTTATAAACGCATATCCCCTCAACTTGAGCATAACATTTAACTGCATGACATTTTTTTCTTGATATTTATTGACATTTTAAAAAAATGTATTTCACCCTCATCCCCCCAAAAAATGTATTAAAAACTTTTGGGTGATCTGTCCCTTTAAGCATTGTCTATCCTATGTTGAGGACAGCACCATCATCCTTCCTAGTGTGGGAAAGTGCCAAATTGTCAATAATATAATCAATACTGTAAAGACAGTTTTGTGTTCAGAAGAGATTTACACCCCTGCCTCGAGGCCATGTTTTCAGACTGTGAAGGAAATGCAGTTACAGTTTTTGTGTGAAAACGCTACATACTTGATGTACATGGAGCTGAATATGAAGTACTGCTATACATCATGTTGGAATCCGTCCTACAGCTCTGACCTCTCTCAGTCTGATATTTTTTATTCAGTGGAGAGCGATTATTTATTCATGAGAATGTTGGCATATTCCTAATACAGTCAGCTATATATTTGCCATGATTCGGATGGTTGACATGCTTTTGATTATAGGCTTTTGGGGATTAATTCTGTTGAGATAGCAATTACACCCTCTTGCATAATCGGGAAACAATTTAGGTCACTTCAAAAGTTGTTCTGTAGCGATGTTAAGCATTTTGTGATCCAGTGCAAGGCATCATATCTCATAACGTATCTGAAGGTACAGTTGAAGTCAGTTATATTAGCCCCCTTTTGATTTTGATTTTCTTTTTTTTAAATATTTCCCAAATGATGTTTAACAGAGCAATGACATTTTTACAGTATGTCTGATAATATTTTTTCTTCTGGAGAAAGTCTTTTTTGTTTTATTTCGGCTAGAATAAAAGTAGGTATTAATTTTTTGAAAAACATTTTTGAAACAAAATTTTTAGCCCCTTTAAGCTAATTTTTTTCGATAGTCTACAGAACAAACCATCATCATACAATAACTTGCCTAATTACCCTAACCTGCCTAGTTAACCAAATTAACCTAGTTAAGCCTTTAAATGTCACTTTCAGCTGTATAGAAGCGTCTTGAAAAATATCAAGTAAAATATTATTTACTGTCGTCATGACAAAGACAAAATAAATCTGTTATTAGAAATAAGTTTTTAAAACTATTATGCTTAGAAATGTGCTGAAACAATCTTCCCTCCATT